GGAGGCTGAGGCATGAGGATCTCCAGTGCCATGTGGGACTCGTACCAGGGCCTCCGGCCACCCAGTTGGCTCAAAGGCAAGATCAGGCTTGGCGCCGTGGCCTTGCCTCAGTTTGCCTCCATCTGGACCGTCGAACTCGGGGTCGGCCCGAGCCCAGGCCTGCACGGTAGCGAGCCGATCCCTCCCTGCCGTCTGCCAGTCAGTTTATTACCCTCAGCAACCAAGCCCGACTCATCTGCCTTTGGGACAGCAAGACAAAAGGGGGCTCATTCTGAGGACCCCAGGGGGCATCCAATTGGCAGTTTTTACAGCATCTGCAGCTGAAGCCCCTGGGCAAGGCTGAGAAACTCAGGGAAACTGAGGCAGCTCCTCCCGAGCCATACTGATCATCTGCTGCGACCGCTACTACTCAGCCCTAATTCTTCCTGGCTCCCTGCCTTTCTTCGCTGTGGATTTGGAGACGGGGTCTCGCCGAGTCCATAAGTTGCCCAGGCTGGGTGGGAACCGGAGACCTTCCTGCCTCGGCCTCCCCCACAGTGTAGGCGAACCCAGCCCTTCAAGGGCTCAGATTTCCCGACAGACTCTGAAAGCCCCAAGTTCTCCCAGGTCCCAGTCTGCGCCCGGCGGACTCCTGGTCCCACTCCGTCCTGCACAGCCGTGTTGCCCGCTTTTTCTTTTTCTTTGTTTTAAATTTTGCTCCTTCCCCAGCCCCTTTTAAACTTTTTCTTTTGGGATCCTCCTGCCTCAGCCTCCCGGCATGCTGGGATGGCAGGCGTGCACCACCACAGCCTTTTAAAAAATACCGTTTGCATATTCATTCTTGCAGCATTGGGGATTGAACTCCCTCCCCAGCCTGCTTTTATTTTTTATTTTCAGTCATGGCCTCACTGAGTCCCTTGAACTCGAGATCCTCCTGCCTCAGCCTCCTGAGGGGCCGGATGACAGGCATGCGCCCCATGCCCAGCCTCACAGACAGCTGGGTGCTGCCGGGGGACGGGAGCCACAGAGCAAAGCCAGGCCGAGATTTCTCGGGAGAAAGGAAGCTGTGGAGACTCAGCAGCCGGGATCACCGAGCACTCCGGGAGGCTGAGGTAGGAGGATCCCGAGTTCTGGCCCGGCCTGGGCAACATGGCCATGCAGCGAGATCGTGTCTCAAGAGAAAAGCTAAAACGGGCCGGGGGTGTAGCTCAGTGTGAAAGGCAAGGGAGGAAAGTGGGAGTGTGGGGTGCGGGAGGTCACCACCGAAAGCCCAGGATGTACGGGGATTTCCTGCCTCGGTCTCCCCAGTGGGCCCCACCCTCACAGCGCCCCCTAGAGAGAAGTTCGGGGCGCGATTCCAGCTGGGATCCTATTTTCAAGCTGTCGCCTGCATCTTTCCTCTCCTGGTAAGTTTTTCTTTGTTTCTTTCTTTCTTTCTTTCCGTTTTATAATTTTCATCTCTTTCATTTCGATTTCGTGGATTTTCATTGTCACCTCTGCGCAAGGCTGAGGCAGGAGGATCCCGAGTTGGAACCCAGCCCGGGTGACCTGTGTGCAGAGCACGGCTTCCTTCTTTACTCTTTCTGTTTTTCTCCTTTGGTTTCTTGTTAGTTGTGTTGTTTTTGCTTTATTTAGGGGTTTCTTTTTGCTTTTGCTTTTCCCAGGTATTTTCCTTTGTGACCTTGCTTGTTTTTGCCATCCTGGGGATGGAACCCCGCGCCCCCACCCTGAGCCCCTTTCCAGTTTTGATTTGGAGTTGGGGTCTCGCTGAGTGGCTGGGCTGGAACTGGAGATCTTCCTGCCTCAGCCTCCCAGAGTGCCGGGGTCACACTTAGGCCGCCCGAGTCTGCAGGCTGAGGCTGAGCGCTGTTCCTCGGCCCCCGGGCAGGTTGAGCAGAGCCTGGCCAGGCAGTCACAGGAAACCACAGGCGGAAACTCTGAGAGCGGCTGTTGCTGTCGCCCGACCAAGTTCCACCCACGTGGGGGGCTCGGGGAACCCCTCAGGGTCTGCACAAGTGTCCCCCAGGCCCGGCCCTGAGGCCCCAGGGCATGGTTGGTGTGTGCCTCTAACCCCAGCACTCAAGAGGCCGAGGCAGGAGGATCTCAAGTTCCAGCCCAGCCGGGGCCGCTCAGCGGCCCTGTGAGACCCTGGCTCAAAACAGAGACAAAGAAAGCGGCCTGGGACGCCGGAGCTCAGTGCAAAAGCCCTGGGTTCTGTCCCTCAGTGCCACTGAATTGACTGACTCGTCGGTGAATCAGAAGGCAGGGAGCGGCCGCCGCGGCTCTGAGATTCGAGGGCCACCGTGGGGAGGGGCAGCGGCTGGGCCGTTGTGATGTTTTCATTACGATGAAATGTTTCCCAGCCACGGGGACCCCTCCCAGGGAGCAGAGGTCGGAGAAGAGAAGTGAAAGAACCCCGAAAAGGCTCAGGAAGGAAGTGAGAGACTCGGGGGAGGGGGATTCGGCCTTTGCTAACTTGTGGTGCCTGTCTTCCCAGCGCTCAGGAGGCTGAGGCGGGAGGGTCTCCATGAGATCGAGGCCAGCCTGGGCTCCGTAGTGAGACCCTGTCCCACCAAAGTAATAATAAGACTGAGGAGTCCTAGGCTGCACTCCCTCCACAGGCTCCAGGGAGACCCTCCCGCCTCTGCCTCCTCCCAGGGCTCCAGGAGGCCCTGGGCTGCGGCCCCACCGCTCCAGTCTCTGCCTCCGTCTCCCCTGAGGATGCTGCCGTTGGAGTCAGGAGGCTGAGGCGGGACAGCCTCATCTCTAATCCTCTGATTCCCGGTGCAGGGGTCCGATTTCCGGTCAGGCCCCACCTGAGGGCTCAAACACAGAGAAGAGAGCGTCCCCGAGCGGCTGGCCCACTCCACCCACCCGTGGTGTCGCCTTGATTTCTCCCGCGTGGACCCAAGGCCGGCAAACCCCCGGTGTAAGTCACAGTTGTGTGGTGCGCATGTGAGACACGGGTGACTGTGTGTGTACATGCATGAGCACGCGTGTGCGCACGCAGAGGCACGTGTGAGTGGACATGTCAGTCACAGGCGCGTGCACTGACCTACACGCCCACACATTCAGAAGACACGCGTCTACACGGCACACACATGAATGTGCAGGCACACGCGTGTGCCGTTGCTCCTTCCCCGCGTGGACCCCCACGGCCCAGCCCCCGTCACAGCCGTGGTGCGCGGTCCCCGGTCCCGTGACGCGTGGAAGTCGCCCGTGTGCC